AGAGAGAGAGAGAGAGAGAGAGAGAGAGAGAGAGAGAGAGAGAGAGAGAGAGAGAGAGAGAGAGAGAATTTTGCTGGAAATTCTGGGCTGTGGGGAGCACAGGCAGAAAGTAGCATCTTCTAAGTCTGACAAGGAGCATTCCCCCAGGGAGAGCAGCCAAAAAACTAAGACTAGGGAAATCCAGGTAAGCAGAGGCAATTGTGGCAGGGGATCAGGTGTCAGTGCATCTGATCAGAGGCAATCTAAAAAGCAGCAAATTAGGAACCAAACTGAGAAGGCAAATGCAGTGAGGAAGTTCAACACAGGGACAGAGATAAGAAGCAAGCTGATTATGTCAGTGACCAAATGTCATGCTCAGGGTTTCATAATCCATAAGTTGCTCTTCTGTGCAATGTTCTTACGTCCAAAGTCACATAGCAAGGTGGCAGAAGGTAGCAGGATTCAAACCTATGACTCCTGACTCTCAGTACATTACAATTACATTCCATGTAATTTAGTGTGGGGTAATACAAACATCACTACATTTGCAGTCAGAACATCAGGGTTCAAATCCCTAATGCTCTGTACTGTCAGCATGGCCTTGGTCAAATTATTTCATCCTTCTGGGCCTTTGTTTCCTCATCGGCAAAATTAAGGGATTGTATGAAAGAATCTCCAAGGTCATTGCCAGCTTTAGATCCTATAGTCATATGGACCTCAGTTTTCTCTTCTATAAAATGGGAAGGAGAATTCCTACCCCATACCACATATCCTGTATGTAGTAAATAGCTAGGAATACCATGTATGCTAGAAGGGCACAATTATAGGAAGCTCAGAGTGACAATGAACCTGTGAGTTGCTAATAAAGCAAGCTTCTACCCTGGAGACTAGACTTTGGATCTTTGGATAGATTCCACTGCCATATCTGGAATGCCAGCTACCTCATCTTCTCTTGCAGAAATTAGAGGTAGCACTATACTCATCCACCCATACTCTTTGTGTTTGAGCTTACCAAACCTTCACTACGTTGTTTTTTGTTTTTTGTTTTTTTTTTGTTTAACTTTCCCAGAATGGTCTTGAGCCAGGTTCCTGTCCTATTTCTCTTTGGTGCTCTTTACCATTCACACTGAAAAGAAGGCCAACCTTACTCTCCATTACACACACACACACACACACACACACACACACACACACACACACACAC